ACCCTCATTTTTTGTTCAAAATATTTACTCGAAAAAAACAAAATAACGAACCTGACTTTTTTAAATTTTACTTGACAAACAAATCTTCCACCAAAAATTTACTTGAAAAATATAAAAAACAAACTTATGATTAAAATTTTGATTACCATAACACGATTTTTGCCAAAAAGATAAAACACAACTTTATAATTAAATGTCCATGTTTACAGAATCACCAAGGTGTGTTTCAGATAAAAATGAAAAGTATAAACAAGTAAAATAGGCATTCAGAGAAGATAAATAGGTTAAGGCTATACAATTGAAAAGTTTTTTTTAATTTTTGAACTGTTTATTTAATTTAAGACTCTTTTGATTAATAACCTTGATTGTTTAAATGTTTGTTTTATGTTATTGATGACTTTTTTAATTGTTGGAATAAACAAAAACTTATTATTAATTTAAGTGTTGTATCATTAGATGCAATAATGTCCTTCATTATTTGTTTGTTTATCGTTATATTACGTTTATCTTATGTTTGTTAGAAATATGTTGTTTTACTCACGTTTAGTTACAAAATAAACCACTGACCAAATAACGAACCTGGAAAATCGGGGAAGATTTACCTAATATTTGTGTGATTTCCCGATTTTTGTTTAATAAATGAAACTGTATTGATTTTTAAAGATTTTAAACTGTGTACCTTTGTTGGTTCAACAAACAGTAAAATAAAACAAATAAAAAATAGTAAATAACGGGAAACTGGGACAAAGGGTTTTTATAAATTTCGGAAACGGTACAGTGTTTTGAAATACAGTTTATAATCGAATATATCTTTCATTAATAAAATAGACACCGACACTTAAATGGTTTCTTTAAAAGTACAAACAGGTGATATTGTTGTTCCATTTGATTAATATTAGTTCTGAGCTTCAATTTCATTTATTAGTTTGTTAAATGTTTTTAATAAAATATAGTTAATAATTTGTTTTACTGTATGAAAATACACCTTACTGACAATTAGTGGTGAATAAAATTCAAACCCAACACGTATACAATTTATTGAGATAGATTTTTTATAATTTATTTACTATCAAAAGGAAATAAAAAAAATAATATATGTAATGGTTATATTAACTACAATATGTACTCATTAAAAAGAGATAAACGTTTTGGTTTCATTCGCAAAGAATAGATTAACATTTTAAATAATGTAAAATATAGTTTTATTTCGAATTAACTTTGAATAATTTATTGTTTAATATTCTATAACACGTGTTTATAAGCAATGTTTATTTATTAAATTATAATAAGATAAAACGATTAAATTTAGTTGTTGTGAACTAATTCTCTGTTTAATGAGTACATATTATAGTTAATATAATTATTACATATAGTATTTTTTTATTTCCTTTTGATAGTAAATAAATTAAAAAAATCTATCTCAATAAACTGTATACGTGTTGGGTTTAAATCTTATTCACCTATTTACCATCCTCGGAAAAATGAACAATCCTTATGAATATTTTTAATATATTCAATTATGAAAGAAAGTTACTTTATGCCCATGTGAGTTTATAGTTATTATAAATAGTATATTAAATATAAATTATTAGTAATAATACATATCCTATTAATCAAAAGTGAGCAAATTCTATTTATTTTTTTCATCGAAAAGTGATTAGGAGATAAATGAGACAAAAGTGCCAAATATTCGGTTTGTTTGTAGACATTCTTAAAATAACTTGACCAAAAATATAAATAGAACGGATCAAAGCAAAGGAGAAAAACATTTCTTAGTTGAACTTCAATCGAATAGCACTTGACAAAAAGTGTTAATCTATGTGGAATTCGATGAAATCAATGGAAGTTCAACTCTATGGAATAAACAATTTATGTTTGTACATTGTATTCTGTTATTGTTTTATTGCAAATAATAACATTTTGTGTAAAAGCTGTTGTATGGTTTTAACATACATAACACATTATTTAAGAACTGTTTTATGGCATATTCAATATAAACATATATAAACAATTGCTGTTGAACACATTGTCATAAGTTTTTTATATTATTCTAAATATTAGGAAAACAGAAATAGTTTTTTATATCTAAACAAAAGAAACAAGCAAAAAAACCGTAAAAATAAAATAAATTATTTTAAATTATTAAACATAATTATTTATAATTATGGTTTAAATAGTACCAGACATATTCGATACATATAACGTTAGAAGACTGACTGCATTTGTTTTGTATAAGTTCAATACCGTTGTAATTGTTGAAAAAAGACTATTTGTTTTAAATTGTTTTCAATAGAGGTATTCAAAAGGTATTCTGTAATAATTAAGAACGTACATTGACCAACACTTTTTAAAATAGAATATATTAACTATTTCAAATTATATTTATATTTAAATTATAGTAAATAGAAAACTGGGAAGATATTTTAAATATTTCTCGAAATCAAGAAATGTCGTATATTCACCTCGAGTCGTGGATTCTGAGTAAAACAGATCATTGCAAAAAGCTTATAAAAAAGCACTCAAACAATCTGTTTGTGCGCCCATACATCACTTTCCATGTTTTCCCTCGGCGTGGATACTAAGCGGGGGTCCACATTAGAATTCATACAATACGGACAAGGAAATTGAATGAAATGGAGACACACAAATAATGGTTCAAAGGTGGTATTCTTTCAAAAAAAAACAAATGTTTTATTTATGTAAAGGTGATGAGGATGGTCGATGTTTAATAAAACAAATTAAATATTTATTTAAAATTATACTATTAAATAATTAAAAAATGAAGTATTCAGCCACTATGTGGTCAAATGAAAAATAATATTTATGTTATTAGTTGTGTTATTGGTTAAATAACATCTAAATATTCAAATATATAATATCCCTTTTGAAGCTTATCTACTCCCGCGAGTTTGGAACATTTCATTGAAATTTGACACAAAATACAGTTAATGGACAGACTTTAATAATATAATGATGGGTTCTGTCACACAGTGACAGATAAAAACCATTTAATAATAAAAAATCTTAAAAATTTGTGATAAAAAAGTAAAATACAATAAATTACAAATTCCAACTTATTATTCAATGAACTTTAAATTACAATAAAATAAGAACATAAACATTAAACCTTTTGAAAAAAAACCTTAAACCAAATTTAATTTAAATTTGTTCTAATTATATGTCATAATGCGTTGTTTATTACTGTGTAGAATAAAGACACCGAGGATAGAAAAATATAAACAATTGGCTGAATATTTGAAGCAGCAAAAGACAATTCAAATTATCTCAACACGCATTTGTATGAAAGATAAAACAACACTAATAAAAGTACAAATCAAAGCACTCAACGCCGAGTCTTAACACTTAAAACCAATGCACCAGTTTACATTCTTGAGCAAATGTTTTTGCTTTGATTAAGAAGATTGTTGCTGAAATCATAGTATGAGCCGAAACTGTTAAAAAACATTTAGATATCTTAACAAGAGTAAGTTAAGTCTTTGAAAAACTAAAAGGTCGCATTAGAAGATTTGAAAAAACAAAGACTGAACTTAAAAAAAATGGGATGAATGCAATAAATTTGAAAATTATATTTCTGAATGGAGACCAAATTGATACTTCTTGAACAAGTTGTTTATTTACAAACAATCAAAAAACGCGTACGTAATGGAGTTGATTGTTTTATTTTCTTCCATCTGTGAGACTTCAGTCGTTAAACACTTGTAGGTGCGCCTTCGCAGTTTCATCAAACAGAACAATGCTGTATGGTTTTCTTCTGACTGCTCTGCAAGTGCCTTTGCATTCTTTGTCTTGCCAACAACACTTGGCACAAGGAACATGAATTACTTAGTTAAGTTAGTGTCTGAACAATAACAACTTCTGCTTCTTAAAAGAGTCTCAGGTCACATCCTCACCACACCAAACAACTTGTGTGTGTGTCTCGTCACCAATTTAAGTAATCTTGTCTTCTTGTTCTGTGTCACTGCTTACTGTGATAGGTCCATTTGCTCACCACGTCATCTATTAGCTGTGGGGATCATTTGCACCAGCAGCATTAGTGTTACTTTTGTTTGGTTCTTCAATTTTATGAGCCACTTTTACCTCTGGAATTGCATGACACTTTAAGTCTGTGGCAACCTCAATGTCTGCTGTTGTCTGTTTCAGCTCTCTCAAATGCCATCTTCTCTAGTGTCGGTTGTGTGTTTTTTCTTTACAAGTTATTGATTTCGTCTGACTGTGAATTTTTTACGTGAAGATTGTTGCACACTCCTCATCAACTAAATCAATTGCCTCCTCTTGCAACAAGTTCGCGTTGATGTATCTCTTTGACATTAATGCAGCTGCAACAAAAACACGTCCACGATTGTAGCCCCATAATGGCTTTCTCCTGTTGCACACGCATACAAAATAGTGTGGCTTTTATCTATGAACAGAATAATTTGAATCTTCAACTTTTTCACATCCTTTAAACAGCATTAAATCACTTTTCAAACAGTCCTTTGTATTGCCCATCAGCAATCAATGCACCCATATCAAGTGCACTGACTCTGCAATGCAAGTTTAAAGAAACAATATTTGACTTTTCGCTACCTTAAACATTTCACAACAGCTGTTTTATTATAACCAGGTTCAACAAGCAATGGTAAAAAAAACTATTTAATTCGACAATATAACAAATTTGTTGTGATTTTGTTTGAATATTTTATTTGTTTATTTAATAACATTTTAATTTAATTTTCTAAATTAAAAACAACAGTTTTAATGAAATATTTTAACTATATAAATACAATGAATATCATTTTGGTGACCCATTTTTTATTATATTTAGCACTATAATATTGTATTATATTTTAATAATAAATTATCATTTAAGAATGGGTATTTTTACGAAAATAATCTCATAACTTTTAATAGTGAATTATATATTAATCTATAATTTATTAAAGTTGTTTACAAAGAAGGATTTTGAAATATTTAAATACTGAAAAACTGTAATTATAAAAATGTGTGGACTTTCTGGTTATCATGCTATGATAGTATCGAAGTACTTTGAGACTATCAAAGACTTTATAAACTTGGAGTTTGTATGCAAGAAGTTTAGTGGTAATATGGGAAAGTTTCATTTTAATCCGTTTTCGTTGAATTCCAAAACACTTGGATACTTTCCAAACATCGAGACACTTCACTTGTGGAATAAAAAAGATGAAAATTTTGGCAATGAATTTATGACCAACACAGAAGAAAATGAAGACAATGGAGATATAACCATTTTAAAGAAAAAGTTCTTTCGAATTATTGTGTGGTTCAGTGTTGATTTTGGAACGGTTGACAGAAACAAAAGTCGAAACATCCAGTTTAAAAATGTCACTTACACTCAAAATGATAGAAATAAATATGGTTATAACATACCATTGAGCGTAACATTTATTGATGGTAATTGTTTTGATGGATGCAGTAGTTTAACTAGTGTCAACATACCATCAAACGTGACATCAATTGGTAAATATTGTTTCATTAGATGTAGTAGTTTGAGCAGTGTTACAATTCCATCTAGTGTTAACTCATTTGGTGATTATTGTTTCTGTAGATGTTGTAGTTTGTGCAGTGTTACAATTCCATCTAGTGTTAACTCATTTGGTGATTATTGTTTCTATTGTTGCAGTAGTTTGTGCAGTGTTACAATTCCATCAAGTGTCACATTAATTGATGATGGTTGTTTCTGTAGATGTAGTAGTTTGAGCAGTGTTACAATTCCATCTAGTGTTAACTCATTTGGTGATTATTGTTTCTGTGAATGTAGTAGTTTGAGCAGCGTTACAATACCATCGACTGTGACATCAATTGGTGATGGTTGTTTCTGTGAATGTAACAGTCTCAGCAGTGTTACAATTCCACTAGGTGTCACATCAATTGGTGATAATTGTTTTGATGGATGCAGTAGTTTAACTAGTGTCAACATACCATCAAACGTGACATCAATTGGTAAATATTGTTTCATTAGATGTAGTAGTTTGAGCAGTGTTACAATTCCATCTAGTGTTAACTCATTTGGTGATTATTGTTTCTATTGTTGCAGTAGTCTAAGCAGCGTTACAATTCCATCGACTGTGACATCAATTGGTGATGGTTGTTTCTGTGAATGTAACAGTCTCAGCAGTGTTACAATTCCACCAGGTGTGACATCAATTGGTGAATATTGTTTCTATTGTTGCAGTAGTTTGAGCAGTGTTACAATACCATCAAGTGTCACATCAATTGGTGATGGTTGTTTCCCATCAAACACAGTAGTTCATCAAAGCAAATGAGTTAATTTGATAATATTTCATTTATTTATTTTTTATTATTAATAAAAATAATATTAATTGAAAAAAAACAAATAATTATTAGCCAAATTGATTTTATCAATTTCTTAAAGCGCGCAAGAAATAGGAGGAGGTTACTAAAGCCGACCCCCTCTTCCACCTCCTGGTAACAGAGATTACTTAAATGTAAGATTTTGTAATTTGGTGAGTATATACCACGTCTTTTTAAATATTAATAACAAAAGTTAATATAACAGAATTAAGTGATATAAAGAAAAAGTATCAGTTTTTTATCAATAATATGAAAACAACACCAAGGAATTTAGTAGACTTGTTATTTGATAATATAAAGATAATTTATTGTGTTTTTTGTTTGTGTAATGTTATGCACATTATCAAATTTTTAAAATGGATACAATTATTTTCACAACAATTCCTTATTTTTTCATAACAATTAGATTTGTACATTTTTTTCAGCCCTGTTTTAAAATAATTATTTTTTGTTTTACAATTTGCGTGATTGTTGCATAATTGGCATTATTGTTGCATATCAATATCAGGTGTTTCAGAACTATTAATTTATCCTCAAATCAATAATTTATTGTTCCAAAACAAAAAGTTGTTTTGATAATTATTGTATTTTGTTTTAAAATAATATAGTATTATTGTATAATCGCATTGTATAATTTCACAACAAAACGTTATAAATTAACACAAAAAATAAACTATAAACTAAAAAATAATATAATCGCAATTGGATTCTTTGAGTTCACCCACGGAGATGAAGTCAAAGGATTTTTAATCGCGAAGAGGTTTTTTATTTGTAGAAACACCACAACCGGTAGAAATGGCAGAAAGAAAAACAGCCGATGACATTGTTACCTCATTAGTCCCACTACCACCTCAGCCATTTGTACACACAGCTCAACAATTGAATAATGAGAGGACTAAGAGGATTTATGTCGTTGTTACAGAAACACAGAGGAAGACTTTAACTGAAGAATACGCTGAATATGGGAAGGCAAAATACTGGAAGTTCTATAAATTTGGTGAAAAAAATCGTATTAGTGAGTCTTCAGTTAAAAGATTATTGGGACAATTGGCGAAAGGAGAAGACATATCGAAACCCAGAAAACAAGGAAGAAAGTTTAAATACAGTACTTCACTTCTTTCAGCTATTGCCAAAAAGTTGTCACTGAAGGAAAA